CGCCGCCCCGGGCCGCGCCCCGCTACAGCCCGTGCTCGCTCGAGGGCGCCTACGAGCCCGGCGCCGCACCTGCCGGGACCGCGGACTTCGGCTTCCTGGGGCCAGCGGCCACCTACGATTTCGCAGGCGCCCTGGGGCGCCCAGCCGACGACAGCGGGGCGCACGTCCACTACGCCACCTCCGCGGTCTTCTCGGGAGGCGGTTCTTTCCTCCTTAGCGGCCAGGTGGACTACGCGGCTTTTGGCGACACGGGCCCCTTCCCCGCGTGCCTCCGAGAGCCCGCGGACGGCCATCCCGGGGCCTTCCAGACCGCATCCCCGGCCCCCGGCGCCTACCCCAAGTCCGTCTCTCCCACATCTGGCCTCCCCGCCGCAGCCTTCAGCACATTTGAGTGGATGAAAGTGAAGAGGAACACCCCGAAAAAAAGTGAGTACATGGACCTGGGAGGGTGTTGTCCCTGGCCCTCTGGACAGCGGCGCAGGTTGTAGGAGGCTGCACCTTAGCGTCCTAGTTAGAAACAGGCCAAGTCCATTAAGTGTGCCCAAGTCCAGGCTCTGAAAGTGGGCTGGGCTTTGAGAATATTAGAGGAAGAGTGCTTGGTGGAGCGCGTTCCCGGTACCACTGTGTGCATAAGAGACACGCTGTGACTTGGGTTCCGTCGATCGCCTCATCGCCCGGCTCCCTTCTGTCCACGCCCCTGATGCTCTGTCTTTCCCTTGCAGACAAACTCGCAGAGTACGGAGCCGCCAGCCCCGCCAGCGCGATTCGCACGAATTTCAGCACCAAGCAACTGACAGAACTGGAGAAAGAGTTTCATTTCAATAAGTACTTAACTCGAGCCCGACGCATCGAGATAGCCAACTGTTTGCAGCTGAATGACACCCAAGTCAAAATCTGGTTCCAGAACCGAAGGATGAAGCAGAAGAAAAGGGAACGAGAAGGACTTCTGGCTGCGGCCAGCTCGGTGGCCACCCTCCAACTTCCTGTCTCAGGAACCAGCCCCACCAAGTGTGGCAGGAACCCGGGCAGCCCTTCCCAGGCCCAAGAGCCTTCCTGAGGTTCAGTCTTGAGGTTGAAGAGCCTTGGTCGGCAGAAGTCACCCCTAACCCTCTATAGATTAGCAGCAGGGTTTGGGATGGAGGTGGGCGTGAGCAAAAATTAGTAAACATTTCACTTGGAAAGGAGCTTCAGTATTTCAGTCGGCTCCTGGGTTCCAGACTGTGTGTGTATGCGCAGATACTGATTTGATACCTTTTAAGCCATTTGTTTGCATTTTATTTGTGTTTTACCAGGGAAAATATGCCCCCACCTGCCAGGCCCACTCTGCTGCTGTTGCCTAACTTAGTCATATGCAATTCTTGGGTGCAGAGTGGCAGATTATTTGAGTTCTGTCAACCCTCTGCTGTGTTCAGAAGAGTACTTGCCCAGAAGTATTCCGATTTTAATTTACAAGATAGGCTGCATATATTCAGCTTCCCGAGTTAGGGTTCCCTTGCTGTCGCCAGGCTGCTTCAGTGATGATCTGTTTACACACTTGCACTTGAGTTTTATTTTCTTTGAAAAGCAGTTTCTACCTCTCCATGTGCCTGAGTGAAGATACAATCGCTAGTTAGTTAGTAGCTGAATACATTCACAGGGTGGGCAAGATTAGAACCTGAACTACCCCTTGACATCAGTTACTCGAACTTGAATGTAAATATGTACAGTATGTATATTTTTAAAAAGGCTTGCTTGCAACAAACTTATATATGACATTTAATGTCATAGCATGTAAAGGGTTTGAGCTGTTTTGTAATAAAATGACAGAATCTCCTACTCTACATTTCCTACACTTTTCATCTTTATTTTCTTTCTTTAAAAGTTAATTGAACCTTTCCTCTCTGGAATTTCTTGATTATGCTGTGGGAATTTGTTTACACTGACAACTTTTTAAAATAACACTTCTCATAGGTTACAAACACATGCATAACAAGTTAGGAACAATTATATGAGCAATCTAAAGGGGGAACTTGGTCAAATGTCCAAGTAACTAAGAAAACATTTTCCTTACCCTAAGTGCCCTAGTGTTAGTGTGGGTGTGGAGACAACACAGTAACCCAAGGGTTAGGCACCCATGGTGGGAACTAAAGCCAAGGAGATCTGCTTATTCTTTTGTCTGCTGTCCTCACAAAAGGGAGAAGAGAGGCAACCTGGAGACTATTTCTTTTTAGAGTTCTCTCCAGCTGAATTGTCATTTCCAAAGTCAAGAATTACAAAGAAGGCTGGGAGAGGCCAATTATCAGGGCTTTCCACTTCCTGTTACCCATACTGAGCATCTGGCCTGATAGAACACAGAGGGTGCCTTTCTATTTTTGAAATGAACTTCCTAGAAGAGGTACAAACACAGAATTTAAATTGCAAAGAAGTATACACTTTTAAAAAAATCTCACAAAACTCTCTATTTCTATTCAGTTCTCCATAGATAACCAGGACTCCAGGTAAACTCAGAAATAGAGAAAAAATGCAACGTAATGAAAGCAAATGGATATTTGAGATAATTGTCAGATTAAGTCATTTTCTTGCTACATTTTAAATTCCCTATAGCTCAGCAGAAAGACTTAAAGTCCCAACTAAGGTGGATAAGAATCTCAACTCTTTAAGCTAGATTCTTGCATTGCAGTGTGGTATTTCAGACCTAATAATTTAGAAGACTAGGCAAAAGCGGGTTACTTTTCCTATGGAACAGCAATGTGATTGGTTATCTTAGAAGTTTCAAATTATGCTTAAATTCTTGTCCTTTGCACCTATAGTTTAATGGAATTGAAATAAAATTAGCTCTAACAAACTCAGCTGATCAGAGAGAAAAGAGATCCCTTAGAAAGTAAATCTGTCAATATTCTATTGTTTCATCATCTGTCCTTCAATAATCTGATGTAAATTGGTGTTTGTTTACCCCCACCCCCACTCCATTCTGTAGCAAGTCAAAAAGACTTGTGATCTGCTCCTTTCTGGCTACCTCTGTGGTTCCCCTGCAGTGGTCTTTGACAGGACAATATTTCCTTTTTGATAAGAATTCGAACACCTAAACAACAATAACAAGAAAAACAGCAACATGCATGATCATTTCCTGAATCTACCACCCTTTCTCTGAGAAAATAAACTCTTCCTTTTGAAGCTAATACTAGCACTTAGCAGCCTTGATGGATGTCTTCCCTGATGAAGGTGGCTATTTTGACATATGTATTATACTGTTCTATGAATCAGGCCAATATTAGCTATTTTTTGACCAGCCCCTGGGATCTTTAAAAGCTTTCTTAATGCAGATCACTACACAGCTATATCTAGTGTTAGGAAGAGTCCTGGCTGGAAATCGGGGAAAACTTGGTGACCTCTGGAAGGCCCTTCCAGCCGTGAATATGCTACTGAGACAATTCAATGATTTTTGCATATTTTATTTTAGGCATATCGTTAGAAGAGGGTTTGCTTCTAAGAAAGCAAACAGTCTCTAGGATTACAGTGATACTCTTCTATTTATACAGGAAAAGTAGACCTCAGACAACAAATTCATCTTGTCACGTGGACCATTTACAGAGCCATTCCCCTTCTCACTATTCAGACCCTTGTGTTATATATCGTATCAGATCTCCATAGAGTACGAGGTTACTATGCAAACTGTTAAACTGCTGCAACAATTCCATTTCAATTGTACAAGATTTCAAACTAAATATGCTAATTCACCCTCCAATGATCTGTTACAAGAATGAATACACAGTGGATGGTTCTGGCTGTTGTATAATTAACTATTCAATGTTTCTTTGTCTTTGCATAATAACTCTTTGTCTTCCTGATTCAGGATAATTGAGAATGAGGAAAAAGAAAGTTTTTAAAAACATTAAATACCACAACTGCAATACTAGCAAATGAATGCCATGCTGATATAAAAAGAAAAAAAAATCCAAAACCCTGTAATAATGTCTAGATTTTCAAAAGTTTGTGTGTAATCTATTCTGCTTCAAGTTCAAATATAGTGAAGCCCACTGTCAAAAGAAGTGTCTGATTATCTTGTCATCAAAAAAAGGAACAGGCTCAGGTGAGTTACACTAGCTCTGAAGGTCTTAATTATTTCTGATGGCCAAAGAACTGTACTATATTTGCTGAATATTGAATTTGAAAACCTCAGGATCTAATCAGCTTAGAGAGATGCTTAGTCTGACCACAGGCTTCTCAGCAAGAGAAATGCCCATTGTTAAAACTTTATTTGTGGTTTTAAAGTAAAACCATAGTGGACTTATCCCACAAATAATGATAAATGTCCATCTAAACTGACATCAAGATTTTCATGGTTTTCACCTCTATCTGTCATGTTTCTAAGGAATGACAAGGCAACAAATATGTAAAATAGCCCTATTTAACATATCCTTGTAATTTCTTGTTATTTAGAAATACAATTTCTTCTTCCTTTTTTGGTATTCTTTAGGGGTCTACAGGGTGTTCAGGGTTTCACTACTAGATTGGATTCATAGTGATCCACCTGTTTACAGCCTCCCAAGAGCTGGGATTACAAGGGCACGCCACCATGCCCAGTCTCAGTTGTCATCTCGGCATGCCCTGGGGGTGGGGCTGGCAAGACAGACCCAGGGATTGAACCCCCAGCCCTTGCGCCTGCTTGCAGGCGCTTTCATCCACTGAGCTATTTGGCCAGCCCTAGAAATACAATTTCAATAGAAACTATTTAACTAAATTCAGTAACTAAGGAAAGAAGTCACAAAACTGGGCCATGATGAAGTGTAGCTTAATGGTGAAGCATTTGTCTAGCTTGCTTACAAGGCTCTGGGTTCCATCCGCAGCACTACAAGAAAATGAAAATCTTGTTTCAAGAAACCTAGATATTGCTATCCTTTTCTTGTGAAGGCTTCAACATTATCATTTGTACTTCTTTTCTTTTTTTGTGGTGCTGGGGGTTGAACCCAGGGCCTCACAAGCATGCTAGGCAAGTGCTCTATTATACACTCCAAGCTCTATCTCTTCTATTTCTAGTAATCTTATTGATACAATTTGAAAAGACAGGCCAAAGAATGGTCATATGGACTTGTGACAGCTAATGAAACAGACCACTGACAATTTTTAGGCCTTTCTAGAAGACACTGAGTCGACTACCTAGTGTATGTTAGTTTTGGGAGTTTGTAGAGCCTACATTAGTACTATTTGGGAGGCCCTTTTAAGAAAAATAAAACAAAGGGCAGACCAGACCAGCTCAGTGGACTAAAGTACCTGCTTAGGTAGAGCGCTGGGACCTGGGTTCGATCCCTGGCATGCTGGGCCAGCCCTGTCCCTGGGGCGCACTGAGATAGTGATTGAAACTGTGGTGGTATAAGCCTATAATCCTAGCTCTTGGGAGGCTGAAAACAGGAAGATCACTATGAGTTTGATCTGTGTAGTGAGTCCCTGTAGACTCTGTACTAAATACATAAAAAAGAAAAAGAAAACAGAAAACTATGAATACAGAATTGCTAAGGGGTCTCCTTGGACTTGGAAGAGCCCAAGTTATTAAAGGTTAAGTTTGATCGGGTTCATGATCAATCCATCTCAGCCCCTTCCTTGAAGTTACTGCCTAATGTCCACTGCACCTTATTGTCAATGATATGCTTGTAGGGATCAATTTCCCACAACATCTTGGAGCCAGAGCCACTGTTTTTCTTCAAATGCACAAAATAGCAAACAGGGCCAATAGCAGGCTGGTACTCATTGTACTCCTCTGTAATCATCTCAATCTCTTTCTCAATCTTAGTCTCATCCCAATCTTCTCCTCCTCCTCCTCCTCCTCCTCCTCCTCCTCCTTCTTCTTCTTCCTTTTTTAAATACAGGGTCTTGCTACACAACTTGGACTCATAGTGATCTTCCTGTCTCAGCCTCCCCAGTGCTGGGATTACAGGTATGCACCACCACACCCGGTTTCAGTGGCCCACACTGCATGCCTGGGGCTCTGGGGCTGGCATGGCATGCAGTACTGGGGATCAAACTCTGGACCTTGTGCTTGCCATGCAGGCGCTTATGCTGCTGGACTATCTCCTCAACCTCTCATCTTAGTCTTATCTTAATCTCAGTCTTCCTTTTGGACTCCTGGCCAATTGACTGTCTAAGGGTGAGATTTCCAACTTATCTTGTGGTTTCATGTTGTTTTTCCTTCTCAAAGATACAAACAGAAGAAAAAGGTATAGGTGGAGGCTGCAAAGCTACAATGTTGGCTTCTAAGTATTTCCCAGAGGATGGCATTGCTGAGGCTGAGGTGAAGGAGCAAAAATATGGAACCAGTCACAGATATTGTCTCTACTATAAGAGAGTTTATAACCTTGCATGGAAAACAGACATTAAATAATGAAAGAATTATTTAAATTACAAGTGAGTTACATGGAGGCTGGGGATATAAGCGCCAGCCTGGCAAGTGCAAGGACCTGAGTTCAATCCTCAGTACCACATGCTCTGCTGGCCCCACGCTGAAACCCAGCATGGTGGCATATGCCTGCAATCCCAGCAGTGGGGAGGCAGAGACAGGAGGATCACCAGGAGTCTGAGCTGTATAGTGAGACCCTGTACCAAATAAGTAAATTGATAACAGAATTTTTAAAAATTAAAAAAGAGAAATATGTGTTATAAAAGAGATATATTATGAGACCGGCCAGATAGCTCCGCTTAGGCAGAGCACGACGTCCTGGGTTCAGTCACCGGCCTGTAGTGCTGGCTCTGCCCCTGGGGTATGCTGAGACTGTGACTGCGACTGGGTGTGGCAGTGCA